AATCAAACTCTTATCGAGTTTGTTCCTGCACTCTATTTATTTTGGAACATCACTGATACAGTATGTGTGTGTGTATATTTATATGCATGCATGTGTGTGTGTGTGTGTGTGTGTGTATGTACAGAAAAGTTATGACCCTTCAGCATTATCCCTTACAGCTAACTCCATGTTTCCTGTCATCATACTCAAGAGTATTTCCAAGCACTGCTTGGCCAGCACAGCATTTGGGTTGGCTGCCTTCAAGTATGAAGGTTCAGAAAATAATGGTAGATGAAAGACTCTGCCTTCCATCGTGGGCAGGGAGGATGCAAGAGACATGTGCTTGCAGTATGCTAACAGAGAACCATCCAAAAGGAAATTTACTGCTTTTGTCTTTGTTAGAGGTTCCTCTCAAAGCTTAGAAGTGGTATGGCCAGATAAATTGCTGCGATAGCTTTGAAGCCAGAGAGCTAAAATAAATTAGATACCATGAAATAATGTTTGATCATTAGATTAGATTTCTCTCATGTGCAGGGCTAAATTTGTTACAGTTATTTGTGACAAATATCCTTCTTAGCTTCAGTGGAAGTATTTGTGATGGAGAATCACCAGGTTGTGGCCCTTGGTAACCAATTCTCTATATTGAGACGCTTATATATTTACAACTGGATGTAAGACCAACTTCAACATGAAATTCCCCAAAGCACTGCTGAGATGTAGCTGCTTTCAGGTGCTGCAAAATGGGGACTCTGAGAGGAAAGCCAAGTTCCTGAGAGGAAAGCCAAGTTCCAGTTAGGCTAATCGGTCTTGCTAAGTTCTGGGTGATGCTCAACATAATAACAGATCATTCATCATTCTGATTTGTTTAATTTTATTTTTGTATACATATGTAGCAGGTAGAAGTTGTATATTTTACTGGGCCAACTGGTATAGTTGGTAAAAACAAGCTTCAGTGCTGACACAATTAACTTCAAAGTTAACTGCAAGCCAAGAATTATTGCTCAGGGTTTGACTAGATAGGCATCGGTTTGATCATCTCTGAAAGAGAAGATGGCAGTTTCTCAGGAAAAATGAAGCTGAGGCCTGTAGGAGAAGGGTATGTTGTGCAGGGGAGGAAGGAAGAAAGACAAACGCTAAGGTATTTTTGTACTAAAAGGAAAAGCAAGGTGGTTTATAGCTTGAGGACTTGGAGGGTTAGGGGAAAGGTGAAAGGGCAATTATAACACGCTTTAAAACATCTATATTAAATTTCATGTATTATCTTCTCAGTATAGGAACTAAAGTTTGTGATTAAGTGCATTCACTATAGATATGATGATGCTCATGATACCCACCTCAGGATAGATCTGCGGGCCCAAAAAGCTATCTAATTTTTCAGACTCTACCAGTTGATTGTATAAAAGATATGACTTCTACTGCTCACCTTCACTTCTCTTGTCTGTGTCCTTAAACCACCGCATCTCCAGCAAAACAACAACAGCAAATGGATGCTAGCATTTCTTTTGTTTTCCTAGAAGTAAAACTATAGTATAAACTATAACTCTATGAGTATTTTCTAAAAGCTTCGAGGTCATCCAAGTGCAAAATACAGTGTAAAAGCACAGCCCTCATTACAACATTTCACCATTAATAGGATAGTTCTTCAGAGATGGCTTGGAGAATGATCCCACATCTGGATTTGGCAGCCAGGGGTGCATTTTGAGCCACACTGTTCAGCATACGAGCACATGTGCTAACAAAATACTGCTGTTATTTCACTCTGATTAAAAACTAGCATCTGCAAGGTTGTAATGCTGCTGAAGAGATTTTAGATGCAGGATGGTCCCCACCACTGTAGCATCACAAGGCTCCACAGCATGTTTGTCCATCCCTCTGTGAAACTGTCATGCCTATTTGGGAAACACCCAAATACTAAGACTTTTTTTTTTTCTGAAATTACAAGAGTTGCATAGCGAACATAGAGTTAGTGGTGGTAGAAAACAGTTTGTGAACTATTGGAACCAGCAGTGCCTTATTGAAACCACCAACATTTCAGAAAATGATCCCTAAACTCAAAAAAATATTTCGGCTGTATTTGAGCTACACACCCAATGAAAAGTTTCAAATAGCAAAAATGCATTTGAAAGTCCTTGTGGAGACTGGCAAAAAAGATCTTCTGGAAGAGCTGGCAAGGGCATCGTACCCCAAGAACTTGTTCTTTCCACGTTTCCAAAATAAAATTGGGCAAGTGGAAAACATGATCTGTGCTTATACAGCTTGTTAATGAACTTGTCCGTAAAGCAAAATGCTTCATTAGTGTTGGAGAAAAAATGTTCTTCACAAATGGAAGTCAATATTCTCTTTGCAGCTTGGTCTTTTTGATCAGTTACTGAACAGATACTTTGGCTTGTAGCTGTCCACATATTAAGTTGCTTGGCTTAGTTTTCTTCTGCAGATCTGTAGTATGACGGTCAGTGCTTCCAGCTGGTACATGTTGAGGGCACCAGCCTTCACCGAGGAGATGTTCTTGGACAGAGCAGAGTGCTCATGACATTCTGGACTGACTCTGACTACCAGTTTTCATTCCCACCGGGAAAATCTGCTAGGGACTGTCTGCACTGAAAGTCTGAGCAGTGTGCAAGGAGAGTGGATGCAAATCTGCACACACTTGTGCCCCCAAGCTAAAGAGCTGTGCAGGGCATACAGCTACAGTCCTCTCAGGCTTCTGGTCAGCTCTTCACAGAAGTGACCTGGAGGCAGTCAGGGACACTGTGTCATGTCATTTGGGTCATGTAGGTGTGGCTGTGGTAAAGCTGTAGGAGCTGCTTCACATGATTATTTCATGCTAGAGAAATACAGAAAATGCAGTGATGGTGAGTGCAAGGCCAGCTGGGCTTTGTGTCCCTCTGGGAGTATATACTGCATGGGATCCATCAGAGTCTGTGCTGGGCCTGGCAATATTCCCTGTGAGGGACAGAGGATGGAACAATGACCATGATGCTTAAAGTAGATACTGCCTCACCAAGCTCTTAGCTGCCTGGCCCCAGAGGGAAATCCAGACCAACTTGCTTCTCTGTCAGTGGGAGAGGTGATCAGAAGGAATCCTCTTCAGAGAAAGATCTGAAGATCTTCCAGTTCTCAGTCAAACACCTCCCCTTCTCCATCAACAGCATAGGGACCCAAGAGGGAACATCAGACACCATCTGGGAGCCATGCTTTGCTCATGGTACCAGTTCTTCTGTCTACCTGAGCTAGAGGTTATGTAGCAGTGGTGGTCAGACGAGTGCCCTTCCCAGTTGGAAGTGGGCTACTCTGAATGGAAACCCTGCACCTTCATGCTCACAATCATACTGGCTCCAATGATCTTGATTAACTCAATATAGATTAGCCCAGATGGGATTAGTAGCTTTCCACTCTTGGGAAATGGGGATTTAGTCCCTCACCTTCCTCCCTAGAGCAAGTAGTTCCTCTCATCCCTCTGACATCCTGAGTGAGTGTTGCCAGCAGGAAGGAGGGGAGCAATTTGGTCCCGGAGAGCACTTCTTAGATGTGGGGTTGACACAAAGGCAGAAAAAGCTGTATGCCCTTTGAAGAACACAGTTACAATTCGGAATGATCTAGGCAAAATGAAACGAATATCTCCAGATTGTGGGATACATAAATGGAAACAGCAGGCTGGGTTATATAAGCAGTCTCATCTTTTAAGAAACACAAAGTGATGCTGCCGTTCTACTGCCTTAGTTGGAAAACAGTGAACAGCTCGGGTACCGCCCTCTGAGGAAGATGTGGACTAGTTGGAGAAAGTCCAGAAAAGCTCACTAGATCAGAGGATTAGAAAATATGAGTTATGAAGAAACAGTAAAAGAATCAGTTTGTTTAGTCTAGAGAAGAGAAGGCAGAGAGAAGACGTGATAACAGTCTTCAAATATGTGAAAGGATGCTTCAAAGACAAAGGGAATAAACTATTTTCCATGTCTTCTGGGAGATAATGGGGCACTGGAATAGGTTGCCTGAGGAATCTCCATCTTTTGGACATCTTTAAGAACTGGTTAGCCAAATATCTGTCAAAATTATTTTGACAGAGCTGGGAAGGACTAGATGACCACTGAGGCCCCTGGACCCTGTGATTATTTTGTTGGATGTCCCCAGACTGGGAGGCTCTGGGACTGATGGATTATTTAATTTCTTGTAATTTTTATTGCTAATGGAGATTGGTTTTCTACACTCTGGCTAAAAAATTAATTTCTGAAAACATCACGTAAAATACAGGAAGCAATCTTTGCTTCCTGGCATCACCTACATTAGATAGCACTAATTACCCCAGCGCCATGGCCCAACATCAGTTTGCTATGATGCCTACTTTCTAACAGATCTCATGCCTTGCGGAGTTAAATGTATCAACAAAATTCCCTTGAAATAATTGTGTTTAGTGGATATTTTAATGTGTCTTTATCTGTTAAAAAAACTGTGCAAGATCAGTCAAGTTTTTAGATTGAGTCTCAAGCTACTTTTGCAGCCTGTGCTGCTTTAGTGAGCTTCCATGTATCTGCTTTACTGTAAATCTACATTAATCATGATGAATGGCTATGTACGTTGCAGGGTGGCAGGAAAATCTCTTAGTGCAAACAGAAGTCAGACAGGTTGGAGTGGCTCTGGAAGCTGCTGCATGGCTGAGGCTAAAAGTAGTCTCAGCCTGTTGATGTTAAATCTTCAGATGTAAAGAAAAAATAAAGGTAGAATGTTTTCATCTAGGGCTGGAATGGTGATAGAAAGCAGCCGTGCACCAACAAAATAAGGTTGTACTCCTTTGTAGCTGCCAGACCTACAAACCTTATCTACGCTTGTGTTTACTGCCCCAGATTTTCCACCACTGCTGCCAGCAGAGAGAGTGGTGGGAAGTTTGAGCCCTTGTGTGAATGAAATCATCATCACTGCAAGAGCAATCACACCTTGGACCAGCCGTCTCTGTTGAGAAGAGGAAGAAAGAATATGCAAGGAGAGCAAGACATCTCTTACAAATTTGTCTTGTCTGTCCATTTCAGGATTGCTGGTGATACAGCGCTCAACAAAAACATTCACGAGTCGGTCAGCGCTCAGATCCGGAAGAACTTTGCAAAAAGCAAATGGAGAGTAAGTGACCTGTCCTCAGGGACGATGCTTAGACACATAACGCTGCTAAAACAATGGCCATACAGCCGCCCTTTCAGCATGTCAAAATATTTGGTCCAGACATAGGTTAAAGCCCTGTGGGGTCTTTTGTAGAGGATGCTACTAACCAAGTATACAACCATAATGAGTGTGAGAGATAGAGCTGGGGCTGCTCATAGCTAAAGCACCCATGGTTATAGTGGAGCTGAGGTCAGCACCACAGGGGGGACACGAAGCAATGAGGACACGCTGTGTGTTGTTGCAGGGAAGGGTGTATCAAATATGACTTTCCATGTAGGCTGCCACATCCCAACTGAACGCTAGAAGGAACAACGGGGAGTGGGACCCGAGCAGAAATGTGTACGGTTTGATATTGCTGTTTCTAGCTTAGAAACTAAAAACTGAGAAAAGCTTGAAAGGTGATGGGGTCATTCACTTCTGACAACTCTGAGCAGCCAGAAGAAGAGCAGAAGTAACCCTTCCACCTCCAATTTTTTAATTCTTCCTTTTTTTTTTTTTTTTTTTTTTTTTCTCCAGCAAGCGTTTAACGCCACAGCAGTCGTGCGACACATGAGACGGTTACACCTCGGCAGCAGCCTGGACAGCGCGAGCGCCAGCGTGTCAAGCACCCTCAGCCTCGCCGCGCCACTTCCTGATGCAGCCACACGGAAAGATTGTGAGTAGCCAACATCCCAAGCAAGCTCCTGCTGCAACAGCCAAGCAAACTCATGGCACCCCCATTTTGTTCTTGACCTCCAGGCTGCAGTCCTCGCTGTCAGTAGGCTCGGCTTTGTGCAAGCAGGTGTTTAAAATAAACACTGAAGAGGGACTGAGGCCTTCATCTTTAGTTGGCCAAAAAGCCTACAATTCACTTGGAAAAGTTTGTGCACTAAAAAAAAATGAGGTTTTAGCTTGATGCATTTTTGAGAGAAAAAACACAGTCTCTTGTGGAGAAAAAGGGCTTTCACTTGGGAAAAAGACCCAGACCCCCACAGCAAAAAAATGTTGTATTTGGTTGAAAACTGAAAAAGTTTACTCAAACTGTTTATGTTTGAGTTTCCAGTATTATGATGAGACATTTTTCTGTAAAAATTGGCTTACTTTCTTTTTCTGTTTTCCATGGAGACTGATGCTGCCAGTCTGACCCAGCTTCTCTCTTCCTGGGCCAAATCAAGGTCCTGTATGAAGAGGTTTATTTGTCTGAGCAGAACTCAGGCTCTGTGCACCACAACAGGACTTTGTTTGTTATATGCTATAACTGAGATTTGCAAGCTGCCCGATGGCATCAGATGCTTGGGATATATATTTTTTCTGAATGCCAGGGAAGGAGCCATGGCAGTGAAGGGACCATTTGGAAGAGAAATGTGTCCTTTGCAATGAAGCCTATTTAAACTCTGGCTTCTGAGCATTTCTTTTATTCTCTTCTGTCCATCTGAAGAGATTTTTTATCATGAAATGGAGGGATGTGGACTTTACAGTTAGAGGAGATTATTTTAAGGTGTGGCACCAGAAGGAATGCTAATAGTTTATGGTATTACTTCACTGGGGACTGAAGTGGTCATTTCTAGACTATAACCCGCACTACTCTGGAACCGAAAGCACCTGCTATTCAGGATGGATTTTGGATGGCGTATCTGCCTCTGCCTCCTCTGCCAGTCAGCCTCTGCTCCTTGATGAGGACTTGCCACCAGCTGTGGTCCCCATGGCTCTGTGTGGAAGCTATGCTTTCTCTTACTTCATGGGCACTGTTTCCCCCACAGGTGGGGTGGGATCTGCCTTGTGGGCGCTGCGTGAGATGTTTTTCCCAGCCTGTGCTGTGGGAAATCCCCTTCCCTTTGCATCCCGGACCTGGTGGGGATTCATGCCCAGTGCCCAGTTTGCAATGCCCAGTGCCAAATCCTACAGCTGCTGCCGAAAAAGCATCACAGTGCTCCTGGCACACTTCTGACACCTGCAAAGGAGTGATGCAGCCCTGACCAGTCGCAAAGCACCTCCAGCCATGCAGTGATAATACAGTGATGTAGAAAACCCCATACAGGGGAGAAATGCCCTTCATTTTGGTTCCTGCTGCAGTATGGCTAAACTGGACCCCAGTTAGGTGTAGAGCATCTGATGGCATGCTTTGCTTTGAAACTGAGGGGTAATTAATTTCCATCCATCCATTTGATCAGTCTCAAATGGTGTTGATTAATAGCATTGAGTAGTCTGAATAATAATGGAAAAACATCTGTGAACAAGAAGGGTGGGAAGAGAACAAAGTCTTTTTAACCACTACAGAACCCAGCAGATCCCTGCACAGAATCCAACAATATTTTGCACCGTTGGAGAAGTCAGCCAGGATATGAAGGATAAACCAGATGCATTAAGATAGGTTAAGCTTTTTCGTGTCAAAACTATGAGGCAAAAAAGTACTGGAAGATTTCCAAGCATCCCAGGTTAAGTCCAGCTTGTCAGACAATACAGAACTTTCCTTCCTCAAAAAAATTAAAGAATTAGGAGATGCTGGAGTCCCAGAGATCCAGTGAGGAGAGCCAGCAGCAAATATAAGGAGTGACATTAAAAGGGAGCTGACATCAAACGCATTCCACCAAACACCTTCTGTTGGGAAAAAGGAAACCTCTGAGGTCTCTGTCCTGCCTCTTTCTTTCTCAGCAATTTCCTCTGGGGACAGATTTCTTGCACGAGAAAGATCCCGTGCAGCAAGTTACATGAAACAGCTGTGCCACGATTACAAAATATAATGCTGCCTAATGTTATTAATAGACATTTAATGAGCTCTCCAAATAGTTTCAAATAAAGCAATTTCACATCATTGAAGACAATTAAGTACAGCCTTCGCCTGAGAGTAGGTTATGTCAGGCTGCATCCTAATTCTGTTCTCTGTATTAGGGCAGAGAAGAGATGATGCATTAGGCTCTATTATGCTACCTGTCAGGAAAATCTGAATGAATCATTTGGGATTTCTCAAGTGTATTGGCCTGATTCTCAGGCCATTCCTGGTTTATTTGGTTTAGACATGATTGGACTGCCTAGCTTAATTACAGGACCTAGATGTCTCTATTTTTAAGGTAATTGATAAATTGCAGCATGAAGCCAAGGTATCAAATGTTGATACTGCCAGGAAACGGGATGTGGCCAAGTGTAGGTACAGCATAGTCATCCCTGAGGTTGAAATGCCACCTTGAAGAATGAAAAAGCAGTTAAAAGTCTTAAAAAGCATCAAAAAGATCCGGAGTAGTCAAGGGGCCGTATCAAACTCCAGTCCAACAATCTATTAATTTAGGTTTCATCCATCCTTTATTCCTTATTTAGGCTGGGAAAACGAACTGTATTTCTAATCACACTGAGCCTCCATCTTGTCAGAGCAAGGTGACCATGCTGGGTCCCCATTCAGCAGGTTTTTTCTCACAGGAGCTACCTTTGCACATCGGTGCCTACAAGGCTGCCAAACTACCTGGGAGAGCTGCACATGCCAGCAGAGTCTAATGATCCCCCCTGTGGGGTCTCGACAGCTGCCGGGAGAGGGGTAGTTCACCTGTGGAAAGCTCGGGCAAGGATATCTTCTATTTCTCTTCATCAGTGCTTTCTATAGAACCTGTTGACATTGTGCTGGAATAGCAAAACCTTGAATCTGTCATTCAAAACCCAGTCTACTTTGGTTTTTCAGGGATTATGCTTTGGAGGGTTTCGGTTTTTAAAGTCGTGGTGGAGGGTTCACTGGAAGCAGACACTTTCTATAAACATTTTAATTTAGCTAAACCCCCTTTTTTTCATCAAAATATGTCAGAAGACTTTAGTTCAAAAGGAACTGGTTTCTGAGTCTAGATACTCTACCTATGTCAACCTACACCTCTTAGCTGGAAGTCCTGGAGACATATCAGCAAAACCTGGAGCGACATTGTTGCTAGAGTGATGTCCAAGTCACAGAAGTTTACATTCCCTCTAGGTTTACTGGAACTCAGCAACAAATTTGACCCACTGTACTTTTTTATCAGCAGCTTTGCAGGATGCCTGGGGAATTTTTTTCAGTCCAGGTGTACAGTCTGTTCATTTAGCTAGATGACCATGATGAGAAGTTTAGTCATCTTTAACAAGCCCGTGAGGAAAATTATTCTGAGCCAGTACAATGCCGGAGGGATTTTTAATCCCACAACTCTTTGTCTTCAGCCCCAGAAATGTGGAATTGGTCTTGTTGAACACATACCAAAGCTGGACATTTATTCATTGCAACATGCATATGCAACTGCTTTTGGTGGCAGTAGGCGAACAGCCATGGTCCAGGAGGGCAGAAGATGCCCTGTGGAGGTACCCAGCCAACCCACCACTGCGGGAAGAGCAGGAGCACCGTCTCCAGCTGCAGTCCCCTCCGCTCTGTAGCGTGCTACAAAAGAAACTCAGCTTTGCCCACATTCCCACCTCCAAAAATAACATTTCTAACTCTGTTTCTGGCTTTCCTTTTAGGTATGTCTCCATCCACTCTCTGTAGTTTTGTTTCATCTGCTTCTTCAGGCGTTTCTGCAGTAGGAGGGGACCGGAGACCCAGACCCACCACAGTGACCACAGTGCACACAGGGAGCAAGTGAGAGCCGGGGCGGCGAGGAGCGGGCAGGCGGCTGGGCTGGCAGGTTGCCTCTGCGCGATCCCACCCTGCGGTGCACGCTCAGCGAAGGACTAGAAGAAAGAAGATTTTTTTATGGCCATATTTTTTACTGCAATTCTGAAATGTTTCATTTATCACAAACTGCAATGACTCCAGGGGGAACGGATCTAACAGTCTCTGGTGCTGTACATATATATACATATATATAAATATATATATATATATATGTGAGTCTAGCAATGTTCTAACTAATGAACACTCATTCTTTTCCCAGTGATTTACTCTTTTCTCAGTGTAGGTAACAGTATATGTTGTATTTTTTTCCATTAACTACAAACATCTCAACTGGATTATTTAAATAGAGATACTTTTCTGAGCATATTTTTTTTTTCTTCTAAAAAGTACTTCCAGTAATGTCCCTCCTTCCAGTCTGCTGGGGGATAGGCTATTTCTGTAGGTGGGAATTGCTGTTAACTTTGCAGCACGGGAGGATTTCAATGGCATGCCATTTCTCGCTCCTCAAATTGGACTGCAAGTCTGTCTGGCTTTAGCAGAGCTGTTACTGCTCAGATTAAGTAACTCCTGCTTTTCCTACCCTCCTCCTCCTTGAAAGCCATGGTGAGAGTTAAATTGCCACCAGCTGGGAGTCAGCTCATCCTTGGCCTCATTCCTGTAGTGCTGGGGATCTGCAGCACCCTTGTTTCAGAGGAGAGGCAGATGCACGGTGTCGGTTAGTAGCTGGCCAGAACTGAGCAAACAAAATGACAGAGCACAGTCTCATCCTGCAGCTCCTGTCTCCTTCAGGTCACTGTGTGTTACAAGCAGAGTGAACAAAAAGGAAAATATGGGTGCTAGGAGTCATAGTCATCCTCTGCTACTGACTCGCTCTGCTGCCCTCAAGCAAGACATTTAATTCACCAGCCGCCTCCCAGCCTGGCCTCTGGTACAGGGCACATCCAGCCCGAGGGCTCCGTGCCAGAGGTGCTCAGCACCTGCAGCTCCCTGGGCTCTGCCTGGTGTTGCTGATGCTCAGCACCTCCCAGAGCGGCCAAAACTGAGTATTGAAAACCAGATAGAAAAATGTGGACCTTAATATCCGTGGGCCTGGGTTTCAATCCCAGGGAGGGGGGTGATGCTTGCACCCCTCTGTGAAGCACTGGCAGGTTCTTGGGAGCAAAGTTCAGGCTCTGGCATAGTGTTGCTCCATCACACTTGGCTCTGGCTGAGGGCTGGTGAGGAGCACTGAGCTGGAAAAGCAGGAACTTGCCAGAAGGCGTGGGCACAAGCAGGGGCAGTGGTGGCACTGCCTTCCCCTCCTCTCTAGAAGCCAGCATACAAAAGCAAGCTCAATTTCCCCATTTTTTTAGTTACTAAATACATGTACTTCCCAGGCTCTGTGTGCTGTGCATCCTTTAGGAACATCCACCATGACCGTTGTGCAGCCATGCATTGAAGCAGCGCGAAACGGAGAAGAGAGCAAATCTTCCTGGATTTGTCAGATCTTTTTAGGTTACTTATACGCCACTCCCAGCTGTGATTTTCCTTTGAGGACAAGAGAAGGGAGGCAGGTGGCAAAGGCAGGCACCCTTCCCTGGCCGCTGCGAGCCTCTTGCGTCCCTGACAGGTCCACCCCCACCAGAGGCACAAGCCATTCCCCACAGTGTGCTCTATTACCACATTTGCCTCATCCTGCACAAGAAATTGTGAAAGCCGGTCACAGACACAGCTGAATGTTTCAGGCAACAGTGACCATGCTGGGAAAAGCCATAAGATAATTTATTTTTCATTGAGACTTCAAAATCTTGCTTCAGCTTCAGCCAGTTGGCTTTGACCGGCAGAGCCAGGATTTCATCCATGGTATTGAGCACTAAAAGCTGGAAAAGCAGGTGGCAGTGAGCACCGACTGAAATAGCCTCTCCTTTGGTGGCACTTAAAGCTCTTGCACCTGATAGATCTCTAGTTTCCTCAGTATTAAGCTGCTCCCCATTTTTGGAGGGTTGTGGGACATCTGAGTGAGCCCCTGGGAGCCCCCAGTGCTCCTCACCGAGTTGCAGCTGGCATGGGTGCCCTCACCGAAAGGCTTCAATTTCAGCTTCTCATTTTAGGAAAGATGGCAGATACTGATGTTTTGGGGATGGGTAGCAAAACTCTATATAATTTCCCTGAGGAGGACATCTGGCCAAGATTTGGGTGTACCAAAGGGCAGGGGATGTCCTCGCTGCCAGTCACGCTCAGGTCCCCATCCCCAGGCTGCTGCCACCATATACTCCTGCTCCATTGATAAAGACTAGGAAGAGCTTTATTGTCATTTACCCTCAGGGCTCTTTATGTTTTGCTCCAAAGGTGTCTGAAAATGAGTATAATATAATTTAAACTCATTCTAAGACCACTTTCTTTTACCAGCCTAAGGAAGCTTTAGTTTAGGAGAGAGATCTATCCTAAAAAATTCAAGTTATTTTGAACCCACGTAAGCTCAGCTGTCCTACTCTGCTCCATCTGCACGGATGTGAATAGGCAGTCCTCCAGTTTGAAGTCAGGGGACTTACCCATGTTCGCATGCATGCAACAAAAAGCAGGATTTGGTTAGAGAATATTTCTGTCTTTGTGCAGTTTTTTTCAAAGATTAGGGTTCAAACATTCTCTCTTTGCCTTCTGAAATCTGAGGTCTGGTTTGAACTTGATGTAGTTGCTGAGGCCAGTAATCAAAATACAGCATCTAAGTGTATTTTGCAGAAAACAAAAAAAGCAAATGGATTTCCATCTGCAAAACAAAGAGCAGTGACAGGAGCAAAGGCAGACATGCCGCCTGCAGTTGGGGAGGTTCCCCATACACTGGCTGTCCCTCCTCGCTGGATGCTTTCTGTGGTTTCTGTTGGGAGGGGTATTTTCTCCTTCCACACTTGGAATTGGGGTGATTTGGTTTCCTTCCTGCCAGAGTTGTGTAATTTATTGTCATTCTCTTTGGCTTGTTATCAACTGCTGAGATCTTAAGACAAGAAACAGAAGCACTTAAAAGCAAAATTGTTTCTTTCTGCTACAGATCTGAGTAGTGGGAAGTTCTTTTGTATGAGTGAAACACAGCTGGACACTTGGCTGGGGTTTACTACACGCTTAGAGATCTCTCCTGTCATTGAGTCCTGAAGCATCTCTTGGTTAAAACTTCGCAGTTTAAATCTGGGTAAATCTGTTAACTGGGTTGACTTATCAGCACCCAGGACAGATTTAAGGAGGAGGCTGGAGCTGTTTGCCCCTTGGCAGCACAGCCTGGTACGGCAAATACTCCAGCATCACTTGCCAGGGATGCTTCAGTGCTGTTGCGTGTCTTTCCCCTGCCCCAATCCACCTCTGCTCAGCCACTCTCACAGGCGAATGCAAAGCCAGGAGTAAATAATGTGTGCATGTGGGGAAAGAGCTAGTAGCCCCAAGGTATAAGATTCAAAAAAATTCCTAATTGGCCTTGCCATGAAGGAGCAGATAGCAAAATCCCTCTGGGCACTTTCCCAATTGACTGTCCTACTAAACAATGTGTGATTTGCTTCTCACATGAGGACTTCAGCCTGGACTCACCTGTCTGTTACCCTTTCCTGCTTTACTTTACTGGTACCGATGTGTTTTTCCTTTGTAACTTGTTTTCCTCAGCTCCTTCCCCTTCTTTTTCTTTGCTTGCAGCTTTGATTGTTGATTTTTACCTCCAGAGTCACAGAGGCCATCTCTGATGCCAACAGCAGTGCTCTTACTGGGAAAACAAAATCCAGAAAACCTCCAGCTGGCCCCTTAGCCTGCAGAAGAAGTTGTGAGGACAGGCTGCCCGTGAACTCTGCGAGCTGAAAGTCAGTATTGCAGTGGCAGGGGCTTCCGCTGCTGATTTTGCATGTGACTTCATTCCCAGTGCATCCTAACTTTCTGCTGGATCACCCCTTCTACAGCACGAAACGGATATTGGCCCCACGGCACGGCTAGTGGGGAAGTAGGATTGTGGGGAAAACCTGGCAGTAATGCTTTCCTGAGACTGTGTTACTCTGCTGGTGATGTCTTGTCTGTCCTGGTTGCTATTGTACAGGTGCCATTAGAGTAGTGGGTGCAGAAAAAAAAAAAAAAAAAAGTAGGATTTTACCTATGCCTTGTGTGTCTGTTATGGTTGTGGTGCTGAAATAAAACCAAGCAATGATAGAGGTCCGTTCCTGACATGAATCAAATCACAAAAAGGGATGTCAGCCCACTGGTAGACATCTCCATGTAGTTCTGCAGTAGACATTAGATAGGGGTTTCCACTGTGCATGTGTCCTGCATACCTCCATGCCTATTGACAGTATTTTTACTATACCCAGTTCCCCTTCTGGGCTCCTGCCTGGTCCTGAGGGACTTCAAGGCTTGTCCTGAGCTTTTCCCAGCCCCAGAAGACAACACATCCCCTAATCTCTGGCTTTTCTCTCCAAACCCTCTGCAAACCAAAACATGACCCTTCAGGGTGCCCCAAGAAATGTAGTGGCAGCTGGTCCTGAGGCTGCCCCTTCCTTAAGTGTGACCCTATTTTTAGTCAAACAAGCCCCCAGGGAAAGCCAGATAACTCTCAGCCATTGGTGAGTGGGCAGAATATTGTGCTTTTGAGTGAACTTGGCATTAATTAGATCCGATATAGGGAAACCTGTGCTGTTATTTCCCCCTGTCATAATGACTCCAGCCCTGCACAGCGCTGGGTGAGCACCGCATAGAAACACCAGATTGACTTTGCCAACAAGTTCGTGCAGACTGTAGCCTGTTGCTTTTGCTCTTTCCAAAGAGTCGGGGGATTCATCTACTGGCAAAATAACAGTTTCTAGACTGAGCCCTGAGGTACAGAAGTATCTTCCTTTCAGTGTATGGAAATTCTCATTTAATGGGATTACTTGCATTCTTGCTCCCATGCGTCTTTATCCATCTGAATTGGGGCCTGAATGCAACCCAGAAATTATTCATGGGAAGGGAGTCTTGCCATCGTTATCACGCTTATTTGCACCAGAAAATTGATGCTGAGAATTATAATCATTCAAGCAAAGAGCGGAAACACACACAAACTGCAGCATCCAAGGAAAACAGCATCAAAACTGAACATGGAGCACTAGTTGGCAAATCACTGTGAGCAATGGCTGAGTGAGGCAATGGCAGCCTGCTCGCAAACGTTGCACAAATGGAGTTTCCCCTGGTAAACAGTCATTCCAGATTTCTTGCCCAGCAGCAAGTTTTACACAATCCCCTTCATTTTTTCCCGCATCCCTGCAGCAGGGTCCTGCCTTCCCATCCTGTCTGCCAGGGTGGTCTGGTCTCCATGACACACATGTGCGTGCGTGTGTGTGTGTGTGATGTGTGTGTGTGTGTGTATGTTGTGGCCCCAGGGATCACAGATCCCACTGGTGGGAGATCAGGAGTTGGTTCTGGTTTTTTGGTCCGACTTTTCATGGTTGGATCAAAGCTGTGTAGTGTTTGTAACGGAGGATAAAGGCTGTTTAACCCAGACTCTGGTTTTCAAGGCCCCTTCCCCACCATGAACCGTGCCACTGATCTGTCCAGGTAGCTATTTTTTTCCTCTTCTTCATAAATGATAAGGTCAGAAGAGCAGGTCTTACGTTTTTTCCATACTCCAGAGTGGAATCAGGGCATGTACGCTCGCAAGCATTGTGAAAAAACACTGCTGAACTAATTATGACATCAAATGTCAAATAAATGCATGATACTGCACTGCATGTATTAAACTGCTGTTCACTGTTTCTGTATTTCCCAAGCCTTTTCTTTATGCACATTCAACCCAACCTTTTCTTCAAGGGATTTACTTCTACGTTTTGCTTTTAAATGACTCAGTGTTTTTGTAACTCAAAATCCATCGTTAAGTTTGAGTAAATGCAAAAGGTGATGTTTTGTAAACAAGATACTGCAAAGCCTGGTAATGTATTTTGTCTTTCTGTTGAATGCTCTGCAGCATGTACAGGAAGAGTCACCATCCAGAGCAGCTTAAAACTATGCAGCAGTCATGTACACACGTCTAGAAACAGGGAGTCGGGGAGGGGAGGGTCCCTTTTTTAATACAATGCTTAAAAAATTGATCCACGTCAGAAATTCCTTCTCTGAGTTGCTAATGCTCAGGATTACCAAGAACCATGTTGGTGTGTCTATTTTTTTTTTCATTTGGTTCATTTTTCTTAGTCAGAACTTAGACTGGTTCACTCATGATTTTTCTCTTCCTGCAAGATATTTTTTTCTCACCTGTTGCAGAACGAACTGCATTTTGGGGACCAAGATGCTGTGATTATTTGCCTGTGCAGAGTAGGGCAGAGAGCTAAGCTAATTATCCCATCATTTCTAAAGCATCACCACCTTTTAGCATAGCATTTAATCCATGAACCTCCACATAGTACCACCGTTTATCCGTGGAAGAGCTTGGTGTTCTAGTTTTCCTTCTTCCACATGGAAATCAAGCCCTGGCTTTCTCCTCCCTTAATCATTGACCGATTTTCATTTGTGCTGGTCTTTCTAAGGCAGGGTACAGGATGGCCATACAGTACTTGTAGTACCTCTGGCCCAATCCTCATGCGGGCATCAGCAGGGTATTGGTCCCAGCTCCTGAGTGGTTGCTGTGTTAGTGTGGAAGATACTCAAAGTAAAACCATCTGAAAGGGCTGGGAAATTGCTCTGGTTTCCTAGCAAGGACATGCCAAGCATGGGGCTTGAGAGAAAGCACCATGCCAGTGGCATAGGGAGCAAGTCTCAGTCTTCGGAAATTATGCAAGGGATTGCTGTGGTGGCTGAAAGCACCAAGAAGGCTTCAGCCCACCTTCAAGGCTGGTGCTGAGCCAGGATGCTGTGCCATTGCCAAAGCCCATAAAAATTCATCATTAATAATGGTTGTAAATCAGCCTGAGTTCAGATTGCTGAGGCAGCATGTGGTGCAGGGCTCCATAAGGCGGTGGATGTGTGCTGTGATTTCTGGCGGGTGAGAGGTCCTAGGGGAGTGCTCAGGGTAGCTCCGAGCTTTTCCATCTCTCATCTGCATCCCCTGAGCCCAGCATGGTATCACACATGCTATGTCTTACTAGATCAAGCTGTAGCCTGTCTCCCAAACTGAAGAGTATGGAAAGTTGTAGCTCAGTGTATCAGGAGATATGGTGTGGGTCATGTTTCTGGTCAATGCAATGTCAGCATCCTGTTCTACATCAGCCTCTAGTTGAGAAATAGCATTTTGGTCAGTTTGGGCCTTTTTCTAGATAGGTATTTGATTTGGGTCAGCAAACAATGAAAAAAAGCCAAGTTTGTCCAGACTAGTGACTCCCCAAATATCCCCAACTGTAAAACATCTCTCAGTTGACTTTTAATGAAAATGCAAGCATGTTTTCTACAAAGGCTTAAATCTTAATCAAGGAATGTCAGTGTGCCTAATATTGCAGGTCTTGTGATTGATACAAGTTCATAACAGCATCCATGTCCAAACAGAAGAGAGAATGTGTATTTACTCCATGCATGTATTAAGGCATTGCAAAAGTTTTATCTGCATAAGTTTGCAATACTGCAAATTGTTAATGGGGCTACATCGCAAGTGGTTCTCTGCCTTGACAATCATGTATACATATCAAGATTTCTATCATAATGACAATTTAAAGGGATGACTAATTGTTTTCCTCCAATAAATCCAATTAAATCACCCCAATGTGAAGTCTGATGTTTCTGAGTGCATAAGGCTCCACACATGTGCAAGAAGGGGAATGAATCGTTTCTATGGCTGCTCCATTGTGTTTTGTGCAACAATGTCCCTTTATGTCCCCAAGGACAGTGAGATTTTTTTTCCTGCCCAATTTACTCCATAGGGAAATGGATAAAAGAATGATTTGTCCTTCAGGTGTTTCCTAAAGCTGCTGCTGGAAGTGATGTTGAATGTCAACATATAGAGACATGGCTGTCTCCTAGGAGTGGAGAATATCTGTATGAGGCTGGGTAAAGGAGATGCAGTTGTTGGAGAGTGCTGCACTTCTGAGCTGGTCCTGGTGACTCACACAGCCTGTGGTGGGAATTGTGAAAGGAGATGGCATCTTAACCAGCGTTTCCAAATCCCTTTGCAGTCAGCAGTGGTCTCCAAAGGCTGTTGTGTGCACTCCATCATTGGCTTCTTTTTCCTCCAGACCATGGTCCCAGTGTGTGTTCTGTCTTGCTTTTTTATTTCCCCTCTCATTCTAAATTTTCCCCATTTTTATTTCTGATTTTCTGGCTTTCACTCACTGGCACACAAGAATTCCTTCTCCTTTAAAAATAGCTGGAAAAATTACTATGCCCATACAAGCATTTTTAGGCACACAACATAGTGGTGGGCCCATGTTTGTGGTCATAACCAGGTGGTTTTAGACATATGGTTCAGTAATAGAGTTGAAATGAACAGTAGTGATAATGGCCAACACAGCAATATAAAGAGAAAGGCAAATTACCTTTTATATTGTGAATGAAGAAACAACCACCATAACCAATCTGATTACTATTTCAGAGATGTGGTATGCAACTGTGACAACAGAAATAGGATTAGATGCTGGATTGCACCGGGACAGATGAGATGATCTCCCATTTGTGCTCTGGAAAAGCACATCCATGGGAAGATACCTCTTTGGAAAAGTAAATCCAAGTACAAAGATATTGGTAGGGAGCAGGTTGAAGTTGGAGTGTGACACAGACACATGATTTGCAGTGTCAGGAAGAGCAGCAGATCCTGTAGAAAGACTCCACAGTCTTCCCATATGAGACAAGCCTGAACTCTGACCATCCCTTCCTATTCAGACCACAATCCCACCTGTGTAAGTTAGCTCTCCTGGCTTGTCTCAAATTCTGCAGGCTTAAGGTAGTTGAAGGACTATCCCACATTTCACAATTAAATTTATATTAAAATCTTGGCCAGGAGCACCTTCTTTTCATGGCTCGTTTCAAAATTGCAGGTTCCTCCAGAGGGTCAATGGCCACCCGGTGTGTGCTAAGCTTTCCTAGCTCCCAGTGAAACAGGACAGATCACCACAGGACCATTGAAATCCTGATGCTACAAGATAGGCTCTTGATGTCATGTCAGTATTTACTTGATCTTTGTGCGTTTTCTTCACTGTTATGGGCTCAGCAACAAATTCTTGCTATTTGAAACAAGTGAGATAAAATGTCAGTACAGAGAAGCCAAAGGGACAGGACTGAGATGGGGCTATAGAAAATATTATGCTTGCAACCTTGCCAAGATCCACAGCCATGCTTGGACTGGAGGGAAGCAGACCGTCCTTACTTTGAAGGCTGTCTGAGTGTTGGTATGCATGGAGGGTCTGGCTTATGCCATACATCAGCCTTTCTTCAGGCTATACCAAGCCCATTGCTCAGCTCATTTGTTCTTCAGCACTGTCCTTCAGCAGAACCAGTGGTCCAATGGGCATTGCTAGGCTGTGGGCAGCAATTCTGTTGCAGTCAAGAGGAGTTTTGCATGAGTGATATTTGTTGAAGCAGGGCATGTGTAGGTGCCCAACTTCAAAGACCATCCAACCTGAGCAGGGATAGACCCCCCCTGTGGTTCAGGACCCCACAGTGATGCTGAGGAAGAGACTTCCTTGCAGCGTAGACAGTCCTACCTTTGCTCTGGTTATGCCTACACTGAATTCCATCCTTAAGGCCAACCCTACCTTTCAGCTTGTCTGTGCATCCACAAAACCATATTTCCAGATATGGGCTTGTGAGGATATCTTCGGGCACTCATGAGGAGAGAACACGGGCCTGCACTGCCCCAGATCAATCCCAGGACACCATAAGCTGCCATAGGGACAAGGGGACATGCTGTTCCCATCACACTATGCATCCTCCCAGCTCTGGTAATCCCTCTGGGAGAAGATCCACCTTCATTGCTGTGGGTATGTGCCCTGCCCAGCACATCTGAGTCCTTGTTTTGGTGGGGATTCTCAACAATGCTGAGTTACTGTGATGATAACCATTCTTTATAACTGTGGGGGTGGGAGAGAAGGACCATCTGGATCAGCACTGCAAGTATTCAACTGAGTATTTCCAGATTGTTTGGCATTTGGGCTTTATGGATTACAGTGGGATAAATTCCTGACTTCCAAACTCTGTTTACTTATCCTGAGTTCTAAGTTTCTTTTCTTTTTTAATCTTTATGGTCTTTCTTTTTATAATTGCAATATTCTGATAAAGTTATGGTCAATTAATGGTTCATTTACCTTCTTCATAAATGAATTTTGTTTAGGGAAATTATTATTATTATTATTAATAATAATAATAATAATGATGGAGCTGAGAGGTAATTTGTTGTTCCTGTCAAACTCATGAGCTTTGTGCTTTCTTTGGCGCCATATAGGCTCTTGTATGTTTTTCATTTTCTTTCTTTAAGGAAGAAGCAGGAGCTGTGTTCACATGTCTGCCTCAGCTTGCAGTCTAGCAGTGACCAGAAATGCTTAAAAAACCTCAAAAAATACTTCTTTTTGTTAGATACCAGCTGGGAAGGTACCCTCTGTACTGAAGAGTCACATATCATGTTTATAACAGAGAGACTTCAAGACTGCATCCCTGATCCACCACAGGGAAAATCCGTGCCACCAAAGTTTTAATCGTGGTGAACCCATACTGACTTTCCATGGGAGGTGATGGATAAACTCCTGTTCTCAACAGATAGAACACAAGTACGTGATGTACACACACTGGAGTTGTAATATATATAATACAATACAATTTATTATTTATTATAATAATTATTATTATATTATACTACATTATTATAATGTCTATGTCAGACCAAAGCAGAGACAGCATGGCATAAACAGATGGTTTGGGACTAGGCTACTATGCCTTTTCAGTACTCAAATTATAGAATTTTATCATGTATTTCAAGTGTGGAAAGAAGAAAGAGGACAAGCTTTCAAGTACTTTTTGGTCAAAATATCTAGAGAGAGAGAATTCAGTTATGAACAGGCTAAGGTTGAATTCTTAGGACAATGTTTAACTTCATTGCCACCAAACATGTCAACATCAGAATCCACTGCTGAGTCAACTGATGAGCACCTTGGAGGCTTGTGTTGAGGGATTTACAAGTCCTCTTTCCTCCCTAAGTATTTGTAATACTTAGATGCTCATTTCTGTTCTGCTTTGCAGGGATTTCAAGATGGAACCACAGAATGGTTGCGGTTGGTAGGGACCTCCTGGAGGTCATCAACAAGCAGGGTCACTTAGAGCAGGTTTCCCAGGACCATGTCCAGATGGCTTTTGAATATCTTTAATGATAGATACACTACAACCTCTCTGGTTATGGGTTTCACCAGTCCAGGGCAACAGAATGCAGCATTGACCTAACCTTCACTAATAAGTCCAGGTAATGAACAAGTTAGTCAAAAATCCCAAGGAACAAAAAAGGAATTCAGATTTTACTTTCAACCTTCACTCTCTGTTTTGCTTCTTTTTTTTTTCCACGGAGAATATGAGCATCTGTGCAAATATGTGTTGATAAGGTTGGTAGTCTAAATGCTTTCTTGAAGGATGACTTGCCACAATGCTGGCTAGAGGATTATTTGGGGTAGAAAAGACATTATGCAGCAGGTGCCATGTGCTTGAGTTTGCCAATGGTTCACATTAAATCTATGGACAGAACCAGCTGTTCAGCTATTCTGATGGAAGAAAGACAAAGACCTTCAAGAAAGGGTCAATAGCTCTGGTTAAGGATTTGTTAACAGGACACCTGGGGGCTTTACTTCTCTGTGCAAAGAAGGTGGTGGCAGTCCGACGAGATGATTTAGCTCCAAATGTGGCTGAGCAGATGAACAGGGTCCTGACACTTGTGTCTAGGAGTCACTGTGCCCAGGGCTACATATGGCTACCACATGGTGGAGGGCTGTTCTGCTGTGCACTCTGGCAATGCTCCCCAGGAGGCTGATGGACCTGTACCGGGCTGTGCCCATCACCACAGTGTTGGTTGTAGTAAGATGATCTGGGCACCTCAACTGGAAAGTATTTCATTCTTTAAATTCTCCTGTGTCAATGTTAATACAGTAATTCTGTTTAGCATCAGCCTCATAACTTGTTTTGATTATCTATGGCCTTATGGTGGTGATTTAAACCTACTGATTTATTGATTCAGTCTTAATTGGGTCCCGAACTGGGTCATTGCATCATTCTATCTTTAATTGCTTTAATGAAAGTCTAGCAAATTAGTCTGGTAATTGCTTAGAGGGATTTTTGCCTGTTCATGCTTCTTAATGAAATCCATAAAAAGGGAAAAAAGGAATGAGCTTATCCTACTGAATTGCCACATATCATGGAGTCTGAGTGAAACTGAGAAAATCAATCTGCAATGCCCTTGGCTCTTCCTCCAAATACATGTCCTCAGAAAGAGAAAACTTAGCACAACAGCAAACATCCCCACAGAAGAGGAATGGATGGAAGAAAATTGTAAAATATGAAACTAAAACCTGGGTTCCAGTTCCCACTTTTTAGACCTCTTTCGACTTTGCATGCAAGTCGTTTAGGATAATACCTAAAAACCTATTTAGATCCCCGAAGTGAACTTCAGTCCAGTGGCTAGAGCACACCCTGAGAATCTCTCCTGTTCTGGGAACCTTTCAACATATCCAAAATAATTTGTCTCGTCCCCCTTCTCTTTCCTGGCTGCTTGGTGCCCAGATGGTAGAGGACCTT